TCATTTGTATTTCCACTTTGATTTTCAAAGCTTTAAACAACGTCTTTTGTGTATCCAGTAGAAAATCCTTATCTGGATTGTCATTTGTATTTCCACTTTAACTGCCTTCTCTATGTTGTAATCCACACTTTTTTTGTTATTCAGTATTTCTGTTTCTACTATTTCCGCATCAGGTAAAATTTGTTTTGCATCTGTCATTCCTTCATTAGCACCTTTTGGACATAGTCTATCCATGGAAGCAGACTTCATTGTTGACACTGCTGACATTGCAACTACTAATTTCTGGCTCCATTTCCCTGAAGTATTTCAAATGTTACAGCGTTTTGTGTTATTTTGTAAATCGCCATACTAACTGAAAAAACAAAGACAAGTTTATGCTTTTCCTTTTCCTTTTCTGCCTGGAACCTTTAGTCCCCTCTACAGATTCCAGCCAAGTGTCCAATTTCTGAAATCATAAAGTCTCAGCTCTCTGTTATGACTTAAGATAGACAAAACAATTTGGTTCCCACAAAAAGCGATGTGTTTTATTTAATTATTTCCAAAATCTTAAAGTAAAAGTCTCCACATTCCAAATTTGTCTGGACCCTTAATTTGTTTATAATTTTCCTAGATCAAAATCTTATTTAGCTTTTTGCCATTTATTTCCAATTCTTTAAGTCCTTAAACATTGTTAAATTTTCTTTTGTTTAAGAAGGAAGTTAAAACTCACCAGGTGGCTTTCCAAACTTGTCATTCCAAAGATCTCTAATAGCCTTAGAATAGTTAAATAAACAATTTCCGAAAGTGATTAGAAAGAGAGGTTAGCGAACCCAGTGTCCTTTAAAAGGCTCCACTGCAGCTGTAAGCATGATGGCTGATCCTTTAGTCTCCCAGCGCTCAAATTCACGGGAGACCGCTTTCCTGCAGTCTCCTTGTGAGGAGCAGCTGTCCAGAGCACATGGGTAATCTCCCACCCTCTCCTTGTCCAGAGAGGTTCTGAAGAACCGGTCTACTCGCTGGTTCTTCGGTCTTTGCTGCGGTTATCATCTCCGCTCTTTCAGAGACATGTTTAGTTAGCCATACCTCCCCTGGAGGTCCCCCCAGTGCTGCCATTCCTGTTCAGGATGGAGCTTGCTCACTGTTGATCATTCCCTTCTGCTTCACCCCACACCCCTCTTCAGGGCCTGTGACCAACAAGTCATAGGTGAAGAAGCTCTCTGTGCCTATCTCCTGTTGGTTTGGCTACCTTGAAACATGGTTCCAATGTTCTTCTGAAAGAGCACTGCAGCCACTCTTTAAGTTTAGCCATTCTTTCTTTCAAAACTAACCCCATGATCTGTTCGATGGGTTGCTTCAGAACACGGGTGTAATGCTCTTCTGAAAGAGCACTAAACCCATATTCTAAAATATCCCTTTGCAATATTGAGATCCAGGGTGATGTAGTAATTAAGGTGGGGGATTGGCACTCAGGAGGCCTGAGTTCAAGTTCACTCTCAGCCACTGAAAGTCGCTGGGTGTCTTTGGGCCAATTCCTCTCCCTTTCAGCCCAGCCTGTCTCACAAGGTTGAAATACTGCAGAAAAATTGGAAGAGAGAGCACTGTGTAGGCCACATAGAGCTTCTGATGGAAAGGCAGGATAGACATCTAATAAACAAATCCATATTAATTCCTCAGCACTGTGTGTATTGGGGAGGGGGGAAGGACAGTTTCCAAACTAGGTGTTGCACTGAGTCCCAAAATTCCTTAAACCATTCCTTAAAAAGCCCTTCTTTTTAGTCCGAGAAATGGATACAGAAAGCTACTGTATTCCAGATCGGACTCTTTGTCCACCTTCCCAGATTCTGAGAGACAGAACTGATTTTTCCTCCACTTGATACCTGCCTGTTCTACCTATATAGATGGGAGAGAGAATGGCCTTGAAGGAGAGAAGGAAGAGCTGCTACCGAGCCAACGGCCAGATAAGCGGGGCTTGAGCCCGGGCCAAGAAAGTCATTTGAGAAAGTGCCTCTGACAAGCCCCTCCTTAGTTCACACAAAGTTAACGGGAAGGAGGGGAGAAGCATACTCAGATGTGCAAGGTTCTGTTACTAGAGCTTTCCAATAAAGTCAGTACAGGTAGGTCGCAATTAGTGTGAGTTCAAATAGTGCGATATTCAATTTAGTGTGATTTATAAATTGATACCAGGTTGTGTTTCATGTGAGCCAAAATTCAGTGAATGCAAGGCTAGCGTGCATGCAGTTGAGGCTTACACATGCACAGTTGTCGCTGGGGTCTTAGACGGTAATCGTTGTTTGTGCAAAATGGAGAAAAGGAAAGTTCCGTTCTAGGAAAGCTCAAAAAAGAAGGAGCTGATTTTGAAGAACTACAGAAGAAAACAGGAGAGAGCAGGTGCGCTTGGGATATGGGCTTATCCTCCAGCTTGTCCTTTGATCCCTTGATTTATTTTTTATTTCAAATATTTCTGAGACCTATTTAGATATTTAGATTTTTTTTGTTTTGATTTCGCTTTCTATGACTTTGTTAAAAATAAATTTAATTCATAAGTATATTCTTTTAATCTTTTACTGCATTATTTCATTAATAAAGATATAACAATTTATGTTTCAAAATTTCCGTTACCTATTTCCATCCAGCTGGGACCAATTACTCTATTCCCCATAGAAATATCCCTTCAAATACAGGTAGTTCTCACTTAGCAACCACAATTGGGATTGGCAATTCCATTGCTAAGCAAGATGGTCGCTAAGCAAAATTTCACATAGCCACAATAGACTTATGATGTCACTTCCCACTTGATCATTAAGTGAGTCATTAAGTGAGACATCATGTGACCACGACAGACTTATGCTGTCACTTTTCCTGCGGTCACTAAGTGAGGCATCACATGATCGTGACTTGTGACTTCTCGCTGGCTTCTCCATTGACTCTGCTTGTCAGAAGCCGGATGTGAATCGTGCAAATGGTGATCATGTGACTATGGGACGCTGCGATGGTCATAAACACCTTCCAGTTGTGGAGCACCTGAATCTCAATCATGTGACCATGAGGATGCTGCGATGGTCATAAGTGTGAGGACTAGTCATAAAGTTACTTTTTCAGCACTGTTGTAACTTTAAACAGTCGCTAAACAGGGTAGCCCTTAAGCGAGGACTATCTATAGTGTGAATTTGAATGATGCAACCATTCTGTGGGATTCATTATCCACACGAACCAAGACCTACCTGTACTGACTTTCATGGCCTTGGTTTCACCAAAAATGCCTCTGCTTATAGTGCTTGGCCTTGAAACAGGGACTTTCTCCATGCAAAGCAGAAGATGTTTTCGACTGCTATGGTCCCCCCATGCAGGCAAGTCCCTTCTGGCAGTTGTCCTCTCTTACCAGCTGCAGGCATATGGTCTTATTTTTAGTGTTGGCTCTGAGCAGCTCACAGCCTACTCACCTGGGCAGTTTCTCTTCCCTTTCAACGGTCACGCCCAGCTTGGACCGCCTCTCTTTCTCCATCTCCAGGGCTTCAGACAGCCTGTAGAAGTGTCCGGGCAGCAAAGCCAGAGAGGACGGGACCTTCAACTAAGGAAAACAGAAGACTGGCTTACAAAGCAGCGGGTGCCCAACGTAGAATCTATGTTTTAAAAACGTTTATAAAACACCTTAATGTTTGCTCCAGGTCGGTGGCTGAACACTGAAGAGCTCATATAAAAGCTATAAAAGAAACCATTATATTTAATTTTGAAGAGAAGTCAAATAACTATGCTGCTGGGAACATTAACATTCAAAATTGTAATTAATATTTACAGAATATCCATTTTTTCCCTTTCCTTTTTATTTATTTACATTTACATTTATCCTATAATATTTTTTTCTGATTTTACTAGCACTGCTGTATTTTTGGTTGTACTTTATCATATC